GCTCTGCAGAGCGTGGCAGGCGACCTTGGCTCGCGCGTCTCCTCCCTCCGCGGATGATCGCGTCTAGGCCACCGCGGCCCAAGCAGGCGACTTCTACTTCAGCCAACCAGCACCGCCCTCCGCCCGGCCCCCTCGGGAAATCTGCCTCCTCATTGGCCGCTGGACAGATAAGCGGGATGGGATTGGAGGGTGAGGAGCGGGGGGGTGGCTCTGGGAGGGATGTGGACCCCTAGGATGAGGAGAGTTGCAGGAGGGTGAAGAGACCCGACAAGTGGGCGCCGGTCCTGGGCTCCCTCAGCCCTTAGCGTCCAAAGTCCTGGTGAAGTCCTCTATGCAAAATGTATGCGCTCAATTTTCATTATCTTACTTTCATTTTGTCTTCAGCTTGACTTTCTCAGTTGTTCTAATTTTATACCCTTTTAAATTTATTTTTAAATTTCTATTAGTACATATTTCCAGTACATGATGATTACATTCATCGTAGGGAGTTGATGCATGTGTATAACACATCTCCTTTTTCCCTCCGTTCAAAATTAAATTGTGCCTCACCCAACTTACAAACATTTGCTACTAAAGGATGAATAGCTGCTTGCATCTTTCTTTTCTTATTTCTCTTTTTATAGATCATGGGTTATCCCTTTCCGGGCTTTTATACTAATTATTTAATATGAAAGCACTCTGAAATTTTATCTTACTACAGGTAGGTATGGATTTTCACTTTTATCAGAAAGAAATCTTACATGGAGAGACACGCAACTGGGGAAATGCCATCCACTCCCATCCCATATGCCAAAATCCGCTTCTTTAGAGCAGGGATGTGCTTGCTTCCCCCAGTTTTTCTCCCAAACGAGTAAGAATTGTAAAAAGCTTGTGTTTCTAAAAATCCATGTTGAAAAATAAAATATTTGATATTTGTTTTTTATCTTTATTAAGTTTATTGGTACATTTTAAGTATACAGTACAGTTACATTCATCATTGGAATCTTGGACCTTTACATGATGTATCTTGGTTCTTATTTTTCCCCATTTCCCAGCCATCCCTTCACCCCTTCCCCTTCCCTGTTTACAAACACATTGTTTCCATATTTTTCCTTTTCACATATTTGTTCTTTTCCCTTTTTCCCTTTCCGCTACCCCTCCCACTTCCTCTACTCTTTTAGACCTTTTCTTCCTATTACACAATATCAATTATATATTTTGATCCTTATTTATATTTTGTTTTTCACACCAGAGAAGCTATTCAGTATTTACACATGTGTGACTTATTAATTTCACTTAAGAGTATGGCCTCAATGTACATCCACTTAGCTACAAATACCTCTAGTTTCTCCTTTTTTGTGGCTGAGTAGTACTCCATTCTATATTTGAAAATCTAGTTTGTCATTTTAATGCAACAGATCAAATGTTTTTCTCCAACTCAGGTGCTAGGGTTTAATCTATAAACACCTTGATGTATATGAATGTACCATTATCTTCAAGTTAAAGGTTCTTAGCTTTTACATTTGATTTGTTTTCAGAGCAACTACACATAATGGGTGGATAGACAATAATGGAAATTTCAGATGTTCCTGATTTTATAAAAGTGTACAAGAATCTCAATAGTAAAAGTTTAACTTTTGCAGTTCATAGAGACAGCAGCCCTCCGATTGCTCTTACCACCCTACATTTTTCCTGTGCTATACTTAGCAAAGTTGTAAAGAAGCTGTGACCTGTGTAAATTGTTGGATGTCTTTTGCTACTGACTCTGTCCATATAGCCACTAGACTATAAAATTCATGAGGACTGGGCTGCCACATCTAGCATTTATTAAGCATTTACTATGTGTCAGGGACTGTTTGAAGCATTTTGAATGTATTTGCTTATCTAACAGGTTAAATTAGGTAATAGTATTATCTTCCATTTACAGATGAGGAAACTGAGGTATAGGGAAGTTATATAAACAACTTGCCCAAATTTGCAGTTTTTAAGGGATAGAGCCAAGGTTCTAGCCTTGTTTGTACATATGTCCAGAGCCTGTGGCATGTGGAATAAGCAAAGGCTGCAAGAATCAAACAAGGCATTTCTCCCTCAGCTGGGATAAATACATTTTTTAAGAAAGCTCAAGTCATATGTTAAACTTTGTTCTTTGCAGTGAACTTTGTACTATTTTATTGTTTGAATTTTTCTTCTTCGCCTTTTTCCCCCTTTTCCCCTCCTCCTCCTCTCTTCCACTTCTGTTATTGTTGGATTGAATTCTTAGGGAATTATTCCCAAAGAAATAAAAGTGGAAAAATGAAACTGGTTTCTAATCTTGTCGTATCTTGTATTTGAAAATAGAGTGTGTATTTACAAGGAATGACTAGGAACTTGTAGTAGCTACATAGGTAGAATGTCTACTCATTCGCTTTATGGTTATAATTTAATTATAGTTCAAGTGAAAACATCTCTAAAAACCAGCCCTAGTTTAAAAATGCTTGAAACCTGATTTATTTAACTCCTAGAGGTAATTGCAAGTGATTAGTTCTATAAACAAATTTGGTCCCAAGTTTAATACTTTATTCATATAAACAAACTTTGTTGGGATTGAGTAAAATTGTTACTTAGAAAATCTGTTGTCTTATTGTTCAGAACCTAATGAAATAAAATATCCTAGTACAAAACATAATGATACCAATCTTAATACCACCAAATCTAAAAGCAAACTAAAATGTTTGGTTGGGAACTCAACTAGAGATCTTCAAGATCAATTTTCTTTCATCAGCACTGGAAGAAAGAGATGGTGAGAAGGAACTATATCTCTTGGTGAATGATGGATGTAGCTCACATCATTATTACTTGTGTTTTTATTCCACCCACTCTCTGATAGACTGAAAACCTTCTACATATTCCCATTTAATTCTCTTCAGTATGGCTTTGTGAATGCAGGGGTAACCAGGGAAGGGAGAGAAGAAAGAAGGCCATAGAAAGAGATGTGTTACAATTCAGGAGGAGCCACCAGCTTTGAGGGAAGGGAGTCGATGCCAACACAGCTCTGTGATCCAATCCAGTGTCCACCCAGCTGGGGTAGGTGAGAGAGGAAGGTGAGATTCCTGCCTTAATAAGAATAATTAATTACTCAGAAAGAAGCAGCCCAGAGTCCCTTAATATCTGGTTATAGCCACAATTGGAACAATCCTAAGGAGAAAAAAAATCATTGCGTTTTTATCCCAACAGCCTCATGTACCATGCTACTAAGCTGAAGCTTTGAGAAAAAGGAAATACAAAAATGAGAACTGGAATGTATTTTTATCCTAACTTCCTTTTATTCTGATTTGAAAAGTAATGCATACTTTAATGGAGGCTTGGAAAATACAGATAAATGTATCCATAGATATCTTTCATACCAATATTTTCTTTCTTACATGTGTGTGGGAGGTGCAAGAAATTTATAATGGATCATATAGATTATATGATCTTATGTATTTCTTTTTTCCCTTAATGCTACAGGATAAAACTTTTCCCAGTTCATTAAACATTCATCCAAAAATGTGACTCCCCCCATACCATGGCTGTACAATTTGCAATCCAGTGGCTCTTTCTTTAATCTTATATTTCCTTACTGAGAACATTCAAATTTTTTCTACTTAACAGAACTGTGCAGTGATAGACTTCCTCTGTGGTTATACTTACTTCTTTAAGATCCATCATTAGCAACAATTTTGGTTCAAATCATTTAATATATGTTAAGGCTCTTGTGACACACTGTCAAGTGTTCTCTGCAACACAGGAGCCAGCTTGACACTTGCAGTGCCACTAAGGGTTTTAAAGATAGATGAGTAGTCAGATTCTCCACATTTATAAGCTGCATATTTTCTTAGATTCTTCAGACTGGAGAACATCTCTCATGTTCAGCATCACCACAGCCCCACAGGATTTACCAGCCTGCTGATTGTCTGCCATGTCCTAGCTCTCTGCCTGCCCAGCCCTCTTGGAAGACAGCAGTGATGGAGACAGAAGCAGGCATGTAGCAAAGCAGCATGAAGAGTGCTGAGAGAGGGACATACAGCTGCTGTCATAACTCCTCTAAGGGTCTCCTCGCCTGAACTTGGAGGCCACAGCAGCCTTCCTGGAGGAAATAATGGCCAGTTGAATGGTTAAAAATTGACAGGTTACTGGGTACAGTGCCAGGGATGAGCATCACATGATCCACCCTGTTACCACAGAGCTCTGAAGAGATTTCTTCTGTTTTTCCTTGAAAGTCCAGCTTCATTAATGATGGTATTATGGTGCCTTAAGTAGAACAGGGACGGCAAACAAACATTTACAACTAAGGTGAAACCGTTTTTAAATTTGCCCAAGTTCTTTAGCCTCTGTGTTGGATTTTGACTTTGACTCGATGTTTACCAACTTTCTTCTTCAGGGGCGGGTATCAGGAATTGAACTCGGGTCCTTGCGCTTGCAAGCAGGCCACTGAACTGCTGAGCTAAATCCCTGGCCCACCAACTTTCTTCTTGACTGGCATCCTACAAGGTCCATGTAAACTGGTCATGTTTGAGGAATGAGGTCTTGCCTCTGGCTTGACAGTATATCCAGTTCTGATGTTTCAGAGGGTTTGATGCCTCCCTTATGTGCTGTTAAGCATTGTGCCTGTGTTTGACCCTGAAATGAACTCTGGGTGCAGAAACTAGACACAGGTTCTTGTACACTTGACAATCCCCTGAATAACCCTAACAGACAAACTAACACATTCAGTATAGCTTGTAACTGTACACATATGGGGAAGTAAATAGTAATAAAATGTGCCAGTTTGCAGGTAGCCATAGCTGGGAAGGTCATCTAGGAGGAGTGGGACAAGAATCTCTCTTTCTTCTCCTTTTTTCACATTAACAAAGAAAACAAATCAATGGATCTTCAAGAGGCAAAATAGCATCTTACAAGGTTAAAAGTCTCAGTGCTGGGATCAGAGTATTTTGGGTTGAATACCACCAGAGCCTCTTAGAAACCATTACCTCGGTCACTTAATCTGTCTAAGCTTCCATTTCTCTTTTATAAAACGGAGACAGTTAGCACTCTCTGTAATGGTATAACCTAAGCCACTATAATAAAAGGAACAACAACAAAAAATAGAATAGTTTAAAGAAGATCAAAGTTTCTGTCTCTCACAAAATGTCTCAAACCTAGATGGTGCAGGGACAGGGACAAGCCTGTCATCTGGAATGTGAGGCTTCCAT